AAGGAGGGGACTTTGTAGAAAACGAAGCATTTGAGAGAGGCGGGGCATAGAGGACCTACAATAATGTACAGTATTTGAAAAATAATGTGTTTTTCACATTGTCAAGCATTTCAGCATGTCAACATATTCTGTTACACCAAATACACAAAATAATGATCTTTAAAAAAGCATCATATGACCCCTTTAAACGCCGTAACAGCGGAGGTGAAAAACAGCAACAGAATAACAGTGAAATCTAAAAAAAAAACAAAAAAACACTGGCTCTTGGTTTACACCGTGTGACAATATAAAAAACATTTTCCTTAAAATGTAAAATACACAATCCGGGCAGAGTTAGCAAAATATAAGCATTTATAGATACAAGAAAGAAAGGAAACAGCAATATTAAAACAACATAACAAAAAAAACTGATATGTCTTTTGGCTATCAGGTACGTTTTTTTAGATAACAAATAATGCAAATTGGGAAAACAAAACGTCAAAAAAAAAAAATAACTAGGTTGTTATTTGAGATGTACTTATGGTTACCAGCCATAGCAAAAAGTTAATACACAAGGTATCTTAAATAATACATCTAATGAATACAATAACCTCTGCATCAATAATAGAAAAGAATAAATAATCATTTGAATCTGCTAATTGTTTTCAAATGGCAGTGATGAGTGGCTTAATACACACAAATAAATGCACCTCTAGAAACCAGATGCACAAGATGCCACATGATGGTTTGCTAACATGCTTGTAAAACACCGGCTACCATTCCGTTTAAGGCATTTCATGCACTTTAAAAGCATTAGTTTGGAGGCACCAAGTCACTTATGAAGCCGACACACTGCATAGTCAACATTCTTTCTTTTAGGCAGCTTGAAGCCTGTCAGTCGCCACTCAACGGATGCCAAAGTGCCTCTTTACTGTCCGTTTGATCATGACTGGTTTCTTTGGATTAGCCAAAAAGCATAAAACACTTGAGGTGTGGGTAGGTGCGTCAAGTTGTAGGCCGGCGAATACGGGAATTGTGGGAGATTTGGAGGAGAGGGCGGAGTTTGTTAGTCCAGTTCCTCTTTCCGGGACCCCCAGTTCCCCCTCAGCCCTATGATTCACACCGTGTTGCTGATGAAGAGTCTATTGCACGTTATTGCAAATTCACTTTTGATGGTTTCAGCAAGGATTCACAGCACCAAGGGCAGGAAAAGCAAAGTTATTATAAGAAAAACTCTAAATAAGATACATTAACAATCACTGAACACCCTCATAAAGGGACTTTAATGTCCCGGATTAAAACAATTAAAGCAACAAAAAAAAACCTTTCAGACCCTTCCCATGCAGAAAATCAGATCAGAGTCCAAAACTAAAAGCTCATTTCTTATTGTAAACGTTCTACTTTTAATACCTGGCATGATTAACTAATGGCTGATATTAAGACAATACTGTAAAAAAAAAAAGACTCTAGCCTCACTTATTGGTAACTATTGCACAGTTTCACCACATGATGGCGCTCTGTACTAGAAACGGGTGCATTAGTGTTTTTTTCCTCATGTGACAAACTGTATATTTCTCCCTGTTGCTCCAACAGTCTACTGACACAGTGTACCATGCATGTGATATCCCAAATACACAGAAACCAGCTGAAAACATCCATACAACACCTATAATCGTCCCAAAATCGCCAAACGATCAATCTACGGCTGTGCATTTACAGATTAAAAAAAATTAAATGCATAAAATAGTTAAATAGTTGTGTATCTGAACGAACATCATTCATGAAGTTGTGCACGTCTCCCAAGCATGTTTATCCTTTCAGACACAAATAAAAGGTCTGTTTAACACATTTGACCATGTTTACCACAAATGTTCCACTAAAAATAGTTAATATATGCATATAATTTTTATTTCAATTAATTAAATTTTTATTTTATTTAAATATATTTTGAACATTTTATTTATATTTTAATTACATTTATTAAAATATAAATAAAATATAAAAAATTATAGATATTTAAAAAAAATATTACTATATATATCTGCATATTCTGTCTGGATCTGCGCACCTCACCTCACCTCTGACCTCTATGTTCACCTGCTCCTCTTCAACCTTTCCATCTACTTGCATTTGCTGGCATTTCTCCTGTATTCCACTTCTCTGACCTCCTGATCTCCATCGACCGTTCCTTTACGTCAGAATCCATGTACGACATTCCTCGCTCCCTCTACAGACCCTTCCACTGACATCACTTCCTGTTTCCTTTCCCATCGCTGCTCTCACGTTCCCTCTCTTTCTTCTGAGTACCATCCGTAGCTCTGACTGTCATTGTACTGTAGTTTTGTAAATAAGCTTTCCTGCTGGCACAAATGAAAACTAGAACAACAAAACAGTGAATACAAACGCAGTTGTAAACTACGAAGCCATTTCGGAACCTAAAGCTGTACACCGTCCTCGGAACACTCGCACCTGAAAAAAAAAATGACTTCGAACATGCTATAATGTAATATTTTTAGCATCTGCACAGAGGCACAGAAATCGAATCTGCAACTACGTCTTGATCTGGTTTCGTCTGCTGGCTGGTTTGGATTTCGTGACGTCCCAGACAGCCACCTGAACGCTTTGAGTTGTCGGACCCCCTCTAATGGCCTGTCGACACGTAGACCCTTTGCGGCGTTCTTCTAAGGAAGTGTTGAAGATGTGATTTTCTCCCAAACTCGAATGTAAACACGCTGAAGTAGTCATGGTGACAGAACTTGCTTGTGTTAAGCCTTTCAGAAAATAGTGAATGGCACTGTGTAGACCACGCCCCACCTCTCCTATTGGCTATTTGGTGTTGGTAGGTGAGCAGGTGGAGGGTTATAGGCAGAGGGTCTCGTGACCTCGTGATGACCTTTCACCCTGCTGCCAGGCATGCCGTCTCCCTGTGCTCCCTCTTTTCTTCTCTCAAATGGTTGAAGTTCGATCGACGCCATCTATGGAAACAAGTGACATCGTGACATTGACACAATCAAGTGCAATTCTGGAACACTTCGAGAACCTTTCACCCAAAAATGAACATTTTGTCATCTTCTATTCTTTCACATGTACACCCCTGTCAAAAGTTTGGGTCGGTAAGATTTGTAATGTTTTTTAAAGCCTCTTATTCTGACCAAAGGCTGGATTTATTTGATCAAAAATAGAACAGTAATATTGTGAAACTATTTTTGTGTGTACTATTTAAGAAAACTTTTCTACTTGAATATATTTTAAAATGTCATTTTTTCATGTGATGGTAAAGCTGAATTTTCAGCATCATTACTCCAGTCTTCAGTGTCACATGATCCTTCAGAAATCATTCTAATATGCTGATTTGGTGCTTAATAAGCATTTCTTATTATTATCAATGTTGAAAACTATGGAAGCCCGTTTCTGCCACTGAACAAAAAAATGTAAAAAAAAAACAAAAAACAGTAATTGCGACTTCTCACAATTCTCACTTTTTTTCTTGCAATTGCGAGTTTATATCATGCAATTCTGAAGTCAGAACTGTGTGATCCAAATAGCCAATTATGACTTTTTTTCTCTGAATTGCAAGTTTATTGAGATATAAACTCGCAATTCTGAGAACAGTCTTTTTGTCTCCTAAGAATTGGACTTTATTTCTCGCAATTGCAAGTTTATATCCCGCAATTCTGACTTTAGAACACACAGTTGTGAGTTTATATCACACAAAACTGAGAAAAAAAGTCAGAATTGTGAAATAAAAAGTCACAATTGCCTTTTTTATTCAGTGGTGGAAACGGGCTTCCATAGAGAACAGTTATGTCGCTTTTTATCAATTTAATGCACCCTTGCTGAACAAACGTATTAATTCCTTTAAAAAATACGTACTGAGCTGAAACCTTTGAACGGTATTGTAACTTTACAATATTGAAAATATTCAAATGAAAATATCAAGCAATTATCCCAGTTGAATAAAAGTGTTAATTTTTTCAAAACAAAAAAACTTGTTTAACTTACTAGAAAATATTAAGCACTTAATGCGTCCTTGAATAAAAGTATTCATTAAATAAAAGTATTAATTTCTTTCAAAACAAAAACAAAAACCAACATTTTCTGACCCTAAACTTTTGAATGGTAGTGTAACTTATATAACTTACTAGAAAGTATCGCACAGGACTTCTGGGAAGCCTCTGAGTGACTCATAAAAACTCAATGAATCGTTTTTTTTTTTGCTTCTGGTTCATTGAAAATGAATTGGACTTCCCGACCGTACAGTTTCACAGAGCAAGCTGTCTCATTTTGCGTAATGAGGACACACAAAACTCCCAGCCAGGCTGCTGACCAGAGGAGGTGGAGGTCCTGAGGGGGGAAAGTTTAGGGGTACGCTGCCACAAGAACACTACGGGCTCTGTTGGCAGCTGTGGAGCGAGCGGGGCATTCCTGAGCTCACCGCAGAGCTGCCCACTGCTTCTGCCCGTCTCCCTGATTCAGCCTGTCTGCCTGCCTCTCTCTTGTCTGTCTCCCTGCACTCCCCCAACACAAAGCTGTGCTTGTCCAGCGCCGAGCCCACTGCACTGAAAGCCTCTGTGTCAGCCCTGAGAGAAAAAACACTCTTTATGCAAAGAAAACCTCCACTTTACATGGGAATGCTCACTGCACTGATCCCGCGACGTGTGGATACAAAGTAACACTCCTTTCTGTCTGAAACTGTCACAATATTTTCTCTTTTGAAGATTGTTGTGTCTGAAGAGTCGTCTAAAGCTCCCACCAAAGAAACACCCCAAAAAGTTCAATTAAAATGTTGCGGAGAAGAAAAAAAATGTCTTCCCTGAACATTTTCAAAGGAAAACGAAGGACTTCAAAAGGCTTTTTGACCTTTTGAATGAGTGTCCGACGGGATGCTGCTAACAGAAACTGTCCTGTGGGGGGGGTTCATGATCCTGCCATGGTCAGCATAAATCCAAACCATTTCCTCAAATTCCGTTCTCATGGATTGGGGATAAAATCAGACGCAATCCTAAAAACATCCTTATTCATCAGCTCGTACCAAAAGACGAGTACTGAGTATTCAGATATTAAAACGTGAAAATATCATCTGACAGACTGCTTAACTACTACTAGACAAGTAGTTTCTGTTTTGTGGAGCGAGCGGGGCATTCCTGAGCTCACCGCAGAGCTGCCCACTGCTTCTGCCCGTCTCCCTGATTCAACCTGTCTGCCTGCCTCTCTCCTGTCTGTCTCCCTGCACTCCCCCAACACAAAGCTGTGCTTGTCCAGCGCCGAGCCCACTGCACTGAAAGCCTCTGTGTCAGCCCTGAGAGAAAAAACACTCTTTATGCAAAGAAAACCTCCACTTTACATGGGAATGCTCACTGCATTGATCCCGCGACGTGTGGATACAAAGTAACACTCCTTTCTGTCTGAAACTGATAGTCACAATATTTTCTCTTTTGAAGATTGTTGTGTCTGAAGAGTCGTCTAAAGCTCCCACCAAAGAAACACCCCAAAAAGTTCAATTAAAATGTTGCGGAGAAGAAAAAAAATGTCTTCCCTTGAACATTTTCAAAGGAAAACGAAGGACTTCAAAAGGCTTTTTGACCTTTTGAATGAGTGTCCGACGGGATGCTGCTAACAGAAACTGTCCTGTGGGGGGGGTTCATGATCCTGCCATGGTCAGCATAAATCCAAACCATTTCCTCAAATTCCGTTCTCATGGATTGGGGATAAAATCAGACGCAATCCTAAAAACATCCTTATTCATCAGCTCGTACCAAAAGACGAGTACTGAGTATTCAGATATTAAAACGTGAAAATATCATCTGACAGACTGCTTAACTACTACTAGACAAGTAGTTTCTGTTTTCAGCGATGGACATGTTAATATCTTTACATCATTTTTTGAAAGAAGTTTTTATGCTTGCCAAGGGTGCATTTATTTGATAAAAAATAAAACTGTAAAACAGTAATATTGTGAAATATTAGTTTAAAACAACTGTTGTTGTTATTGTAATAAATATTAAAATGCAATTTATTCCTGTGAAGGCAAAGCTGAATTTTCAGCATCATTACGCCATTCTTCAGTGTCACATGATCCTTCAGAAATCATTCTAATAAAGCTATTTTGTGCTCAAGAATCATTTCTTATTATTATCAATGTTTAAAACAGTTGTGCTGCTTAATGGGATGTGATTCTTTGATGAATTGAAAGTTCAAAACACTTCAAATAGAAATTACAATAAATGTCTTTCCTCTTACTTTTGACCAATTTAATGCATCCTTCCTGAATAGAAGTATTAATTTCCTTCAAAAAAAACAACCAAAATAAGTTGGTCATTTTCATTTTTGGGTGAACTAAGTGCAGTATTTATAACTTGAGCAAGAAGTGGACACGTACCTCCCAGAGCGTGTTCAGTCATGCGGAGACACAGAGACTCCAAACGGTTATTGATGTCAGGCTCAGTCACAGGCACCTGTAAATCTGCAAAATGACAAACAAACTGAGTCAACTTCAACAAGTTATGACAATAAACAACACATAACAAGCCAAGTGAGGGCTACATGACACTGACTGATGTCTTGATATACCAAAAACAGAAAGAAAGTGGTTATTTGTGGTTGCCTCACAGAAACAGTAGATAACAACAGCAAATCTGTAAATGGGAACAGCACAAAATGCAGGCCAGATTTGAACCTGAATCTATGATCTATCTTTTTATCAGATAGTTCACAAAAAAATTGGCTAAAACTTTACTCGCGCTCAGGTCACCCGAGATGTAGATGAGTTTGTTTCTTCATGGGAATAGATTTGGAGAAATGTAGCATTACATCACTTTCTCACCACCACTGGATCCTCTGCAGTGAATGGGTGCCGTCAGAATGAGAGTCCAAACAGCTGATAAAAACATCACAATAATCCACAAGTAATCCACACCACTCCAGCACATCAATTAATGTCTTGTGAAGCTAAAGCTGTGCGTGTAAAAAACAAATCCACCATTAAGACCTGTTTTTGATGGCACCCATTCACTGCAGAGGATCCATTAGTGATGTAATGCTAAATTTCTCCAAATCTGTTCAGAAGAACAAACAAACGCATCTTCCTCTTGGATGGCCTAAAATAAATTGAAAGTAAATTTTCATTTTTTGGTGACTATTCCTTTAAATGAAGCATTCCCTTGAAGCAATCAGGGGCTAAGAGTTTTGCTCAGAAGCAAAATGGATAAAGATCACCCTTGCTTGGTTTAAACCATTAACCTTAACAGTTACTAGCCCAGACCTTATACATTTCATTTCATTCTCTTTTGACCAATAACACCCTCAGAAGTTGACCAGCAAGAGAAAAAAGGCAAACAAAGATGCATTTCAAACCTCTCAGAGGTCTCATTCACATCTTAGTCACCATACGGCAACTGATCAATAGTTCAAAATTGCGACCTCAATTTTCAAAATTCACAGCCATTATGCTTGCAAACTGCACTGAACTGATTGTGAACCGATCGTGTTCATAGTTCCCTCAGTAGTACACTGGCCTACAGTGTGAGCGCTGTTCTAAAGAGAAGCTTCAGTCTCAGTGGGGCAGAGTCTGACTGCTCAAGGCTCCTGCAGCACTGCTCGGGCTGGGCCGGCCCTTACTGTGCTCGTCTTTAGCTGAGTCAACAGCAAACGGGCCTTTGAAAATCCCTTGTGGGAAGGAAGAGCTGAGTTAGGCAACCACTGGCTGGACAGAACAGACAACCTGCTATTTTTAAGCAGAAAATCCTGTAAGGCCCGTCAAGTCTCTCTCTCACAGTGCTCCCTCTTTGTTGCCTTTGAATTAATCAAGGCGTTAATGTGAACACATTCGGATGGGCGGCAATGAGAACACAAGGGGGAACGAGTCGGAGAGAGAAAGTGGAAGGCATGCTGCACAAAGAAAGTCATTGTAACATGCAACCTAGCACACAAAAACACTGTACACTCTCTTGTGCACAGCATCTCTTTCTTCTCCGAAAGGGGTCGAGTATTTATGTAAAACCACGAGAACGGAGCAAACTAAAGGAAGTGAGTTTCAGCTGCAGTCAGAGCGGAGCCACAGACAGAGAGGAACTGAATGTGTGTCAGTGGAGCACGCAGCACAGAGAAGCCGGAAAAGATTTGCTTTAAATGTGTGACACTCTTTCAAGTCAGAAAAAAATTAACTGTCTATCTGACCACTACGAAATATTTGATGTTTCTTTTTTTTTTTTTGACAAAAGTCATTTTCTATGCTTCTGTAGTGTTTTATTTTACCAAAGAAATATATTTATAATCAGGGTATCAGCATGTTGAATGAAATTATAAATCTTTATAATTAACCTTAACAGTTACTAGCCCAGACCTTATACATTTCATTTCATTCTCTTTTGACCAATAGCACCCTCAGAAGTTGACCAGCAAGAGAAAAAAGGCAAACAAAGATGCATTTCAAACCTCTCAGAGGTCTCATTCACATCTTAGTCACCATACGGCAACTGATCAATAGTTCAAAATTGCGACCTCAATTTTCAAAATTCACAGCCATTATGCTTGCAAACTGCACTGAACTGATTGTGAACCGATCGTGTTCATAGTTCCCTCAGTAGTACACTGGCCTACAGTGTGAGCGCTGTTCTAAAGAGAAGCTTCAGTCTCAGTGGGGCAGAGTCTGACTGCTCAAGGCTCCTGCAGCACTGCTCGGGCTGGGCCGGCCCTTACTGTGCTCGTCTTTAGCTGAGTCAACAGCAAACGGGCCTTTGAAAATCCCTTGTGGGAAGGAAGAGCTGAGTTAGGCAACCACTGGCTGGACAGAACAGACAACCTGCTATTTTTAAGCAGAAAATCCTGTAAGGCCCGTCAAGTCTCTCTCTCACAGTGCTCCCTCTTTGTTGCCTTTGAATTAATCAAGGCGTTAATGTGAACACATTCGGATGGGCGGCAATGAGAACACAAGGGGGAACGAGTCGGAGAGAGAAAGTGGAAGGCATGCTGCACAAAGAAAGTCATTGTAACATGCAACCTAGCACACAAAAACACTGTACACTCTCTTGTGCACAGCATCTCTTTCTTCTCCGAAAGGGGTCGAGTATTTATGTAAAACCACGAGAACGGAGCAAACTAAAGGAAGTGAGTTTCAGCTGCAGTCAGAGCGGAGCCACAGACAGAGAGGAACTGAATGTGTGTCAGTGGAGCACGCAGCACAGAGAAGCCGGAAAAGATTTGCTTTAAATGTGTGACACTCTTTCAAGTCAGAAAAAAATTAACTGTCTATCTGACCACTACGAAATATTTGATGTTTCTTTTTTTTTTTTTGACAAAAGTCATTTTCTATGCTTCTGTAGTGTTTTATTTTACCAAAGAAATATATTTATAATCAGGGTATCAGCATGTTGAATGAAATTATAAATCTTTATAATGCACAAAAATCAGGAAAAGCTGTCCTCACGCTTCAGATATCCAAACCACAAAAGTCTATCAAAAAATATATATTTTATTATTATTAATACTATTATTATTTTCTTTATTAATTTTGGATATTATTATATATTAATAAAAAACTATATATATATATATATATATATATATTTACAATAAATCTAAATAAAATATCAACTGATATATTAGATGTCAGTTGTAAACATTTTTCAACTACTCAAACATGATAAAAAATAAGTTATTAAGTAATAGGCAAGTTAACAGATAAAAAAAATCTTTTTATCTCTTATTTTATTGTTTTTTTTTAGTTTTTTGATGACATTTTCTATTCTAAGATGGTTTAAAGGGAAATATGTTTTTATATGGAGGTTAGTACAAAGGTCTAGTTTAGGAAAAAATGTGCATTTACAAATATTTTTTAATGCAGCACAGTGAACCGTACACGCGAACATTTATTACTGATTTTCATGCACGGCAATAAATAAATATATAAATAAATGAATAAATAAACACTGTCCAATTGAAGAGACAAAGTTTAAGGTCATTAACAAGCATTTTTACCTCCAAGCCTTTTTTTTTACCTCCTTAATTGTAAGGAATTTTTTTCAAAATGTTGCCTCTTTTAAGTAATCTGGGGGGTTTTGTGTCAGAGATGATGGCACTTCTGCTTTGCCTGAGCAGACTGTGAGTTAAACATGATGAGTGTGTTTGAGTTCTGGTCTCTTACCTGTTTGCTGGAACATGGCCATGGTGTGTGGGTTGGTGTGGACGGGTAGTGATCGAGTCCTCTGAACTGAGCTGTGGGTGCGGCTGGGCATGCTGTTACTGCCCCCTGGATTGGCAAACCACAAACCCTACCACAAAAACACACATTCCAGCCCAATTACAATCATATCATACTACAATCTGTGCTCATGTTCATTAAACTAATGGATAATACATGAAAAACAGTTACACCTGATTATGAAGCCTTTTATTGTTCTAAACATCAAATGACTAGTAATGAAAACACATGCTTTCTCATTCATTAAGTGTTAAACATATGACTTTTCTTCTATACAATTCTTCTATATACAAATGAATCTAACAAAAACATATCCATGTCATTTCACCATAATACAATATATATATATATATATCCACGAGAACGGAGCAAACTAAAGGAAGTGAGTTTCAGCTGCAGTCAGAGCGGAGCCACAGACAGAGAGGAACTGAATGTGTGTCAGTGGAGCACGCAGCACAGAGAAGCCGGAAAAGATTTGCTTTAAATGTGTGACACTCTTTCAAGTCAGAAAAAAATTAACTGTCTATCTGACCACTACGAAAATATTTGATGTTTTTTTTTTTTTTTTGACAAAAGTCATTTTCTATGCTTCTGTAGTGTTTTATTTTACCAAAGAAATATATTTATAATCAGGGTATCAGCATGTTGAATGAAATTATAAATCTTTATAATGCACAAAAATCAGGAAAAGCTGTCCTCATGCTTCAGATATCCAAACCACAAAAGTCTATCAAAAAATATATATTTTATTATTATTAATACTATTATTATTTTCTTTATTAATTTTGGATATTATTATATATTAATAAAAAACTATATATATATATATATATATATATA